AACAGTTGGTAGCATTAGGCCAAATGGGCGCTCAAAAACTACTACCCCATAGGGTGTCCATGTTAAATCGACCTATTTCAAGCGACTGCGAGCCCCTTACGTAAGCTTAAAGATAAAATGCCAATATTATTGTGGGGAAGGGTAGCCTTAAGCTTCCTCTACAACCTTTCTATCTAGCGTTTTTCGATGCGGAGGCCATAACAGGTCCAAAAAGCCAAAAAGCATTGGGCGCTGCCCGAGGTACCAAAAGCCCCTCCATGGCCCAATCTTATAAAGGTTGTGCTACCAAATGCCAGGGGCGCGGGAACTACTTTCCGACTGGGGGGGGGGGGGCACACCATAATAGAGATTAACCTAGGGTACCCCCAAATCTAGTTTTCTCACCGGTTTTAGGCCACTTATTTTTCACCCTTCGGCTTTTTCAACAAAAAAAGAAAACATTTGCAAAAAAAGTGTGGTATTCCGTCTCAAAGCTGTGAGGGCACCGCCCCCACGGCCCCAGAGTTGGGGGGGGCAAGCTGCCCCCACTGCCCCCCGGCTCCCGCGCCTATGCCAAATGCCGTACTATCATTCCACGCCACTCTATTTACGGCACCCTATTCACGCAATCTTATAAAGAGAATAGTATGGCAATTCTATTCACGCCATTTTGCCCCCGGTACAAATCAACGCCAGTAGGAAACACGCAACGTGATTGGTCAATGCCTTGTCGCCGTCGCTATTGGAAATTATGCGTACTGTTTGCGAACAGCAAAAGTTATGTGTTTTAATTTTTATGGGGCATTTATTTCTTTTAGAGACACACATATGTGTAATGAATAAATTATTTATGGAAAACGTGATAGCAAACTATGGAAAACACCAACATGCTTGAAGAATTATCCTGAAAAGTGGATTGCCGACCAAATAAATATCAGCGTGGGCATTCTCGCGCTCAGAAAATCGAGTGAATAAAGTGTTTCTTCTACTTATCATTTGCATTTATTTGCTGTTAAGGCATTGCAATAAATTTGGTAAGGAATTATATAACCCTCGCCCGCACATGCCATTTTCCCATCCTAGAACGCACATGGGGGGGGGGGGGGTTGCCATCCCCCCCCCCCCGCGCCATTTCGTTCCTGTTGGAGATAAAGCTTAGCGGTAAAGACCAAAAAGATTCTTTGGGAAGAGACGAATCCAATGATACCCAGTTTTACCTTCTCAGGTCAGTCATTGACCTTCCAAGTCAGGTCAAACTAAAAAATATTGCTGTTTTGGGTCACCGTTGGATATCAAGTGCGCTGCTTATCATATACCGATGACGATGCCGTTTTCTGGTGCCAAACCAGCTAGAACCTCTTTGTCACACTACCCGACCAGAATTTTGCTGCTGAGGTCATTTCAGGTCAAGTTAGGTCAAGGTCAATTATATGTGTTTGTATGTCTGTGTGTGTCTGTGTGTATACTGATGTGTGCACCGATTGTTTATGTGTCCATATTACATGAAATCATGATCTGAGAAGCTTTTACCAAAAATGTAGTAAAAAAAACTTCACAAAAAGTAATTTCCGTTTGCCTAAAACGCAATTATCTTAGATGACCTAGGTTGACCTTGACCTTGACCTTGACATCTGTACATCGTCGAACAACATGTTCCATGATAGGTGGGAGGTAAGACTGGCAAAAAAAGGCCGAAATCAAGGTGTCAAAAGCTCACAAGGCCCATAGCCAACGCAAGATGTTGAGAATTGGCCATTTGGGTCATGACATGACTTGAAAAACAAGGCCATATCTCCGAAACCAAAAACCACAGAAACTTGAAATTTTCAGTGGACATCAAGAAAAGATAGAGGAGCAGCTATACGAAAAATCAGCCTTCTAGCTCTGAAAATGTTGAGTGCAGAGCAGAAAGACTACCTGGGGGGGGGGGGGGGGTGTGGCAACCAGACATGTGCATGGATCAGAGTGATGGATCTATGATCTCAGTGGATCTCGAAGCAAAGTACAGGTTGGGATCTATGATCCCACCGGATCCGGCGTGAAAAATACATCTTGGATCTATGATCTCAGATGATCTGACGATAAATTAAGAACATGGATCTATGATCTCAGTGGATCCCACCATGCACCACATTCGAAACCATGTTTTAAAGGGTTTCTATGCCAATAAGTGACACAAAACTACGGATTATGACGTGCGATCACATAAAATCACTAAAACAGAACGTTTGTGAGTTGAAACAAGTGCTTTTAGGGGATATATGTGTTGACAAAAAATAAGTGAGGATCTATGATCTCACTGGATCTCCAGCAAAAAATGAGACTCGGATCTGTGATCCCTACGGATCTCTCGATAAATTACAGAGCTGGATCTATGATCCCGTCGGATCCGAGATCAGGATCCGTGGGATCAGATCCCAGATCCATTTTCTCGGATCCATGCACATGTCTGGTGGCAACCACCCCCCCCCCCATGTGCGGGCGAGGGTTAAATAATGATTTAATCATAGCTCGGCTACTGTTTCAGTAATTGAAGTAATGCCGTTGACAATGAAGCTCCTACAATTTGAGCATTAGGATACGTACATTAACTGGATCAATTCAAGATATAGCTTATTTTCCTTCTTGTCATAAGCTCTTGACATTTTCCTTCTTGAAGATAAACTACTAAAATTCGAAGATTACATACATGAACTGAATTAGGTCAAGTTACAGCATATTTTCCTTCTTATTCAAGCATGGGTGCCTATCAGTGGCGCGGGAACTTCTTCCAGACTGGGGGGGGGGGGGGGGCTGAACCATAATAGAAATCAACCTAGGGTACCCCCAAATCTAGTTTTCTCACCGGTTTTATGCCACTTATTTTTCAGACCTTGGCCTTTTCAACAACAACAAAAAAAAACACACGAAAATATTTTCAAAAAGTGAGGTATTCCGTCTCAGCTGAGTGAAGAAACTACCGTTTTGGCAACCTGGAGTAAAGGTTTTAATCTGCCAAATGAGTTGCCGAGCCAGTGAAATAGGTGGATTTTTCACTTACATGCTTTCTTCCTTTGTGACCCACAACCCCTAATTTGGGGAGCACAAGCTGCCCAACGGTTCCTGGCCTCATGAAACGTTGTGGGGCACCGCCCCCACGGCCGCAGAGTTGTGGGGGCAAGCTTCCCCTACTGCCCCCTCCCCCGGCTCCCGCGCCTATGATTGAATCTATGAAATTATGTTGGTAGATTTCCGATTTCGATTCCTCCAGCTGGGGGGGGGGGGGGGGCTCAAATACATTACGAGCCCCCCCAGCCGAAAAGCTGGGGGGGGGGGGCTCAGCCCCCGCTAGCCCCCCCGGTTCCCGCGCCACTGGTGCCTATTACCTTACCTAAAGCTAAAAAGCAATTCCTAAAAAGATTGAAGAACCGTCTACATAGCAAAGCTAGATAGTCCCTTTAATATGAGCGCTATCGGACCAGCCGATCCCCACATACTAAAAAGGGGTACGCACGTGCGCACGTGCATACTAATGTCTTCGCCAACCTGTGCAATATTCATATTTACATGGTGTCCTCTAGCATACAAATATGAGCGCTATCGGCCCAGCAGATCCCGAGATATTAAAAAGGGGTGTGCACGTGCGCACGCGCTGAAGGAATTCAAAACCGTCCAAAGGTCACCGGATGTGTAGTGTGCACCCAGCCAAAACAACAAACAAATTTTGAGCTGTATCGCTTCAGCCGTTACCGAGTTATGAAATGACGAGCTCTTCTGGAACCTCTCGCGTCGCACGTGGCACGCGCTGTAACACACTCAGGGGTTTTATGAATAGCAAAGTTCCATGAAGAAAAGATACATCCCCTCTCCAAAGAAGACCGCTCATCAAACAGTCAAACCGTTTTGGAGATACATGTCAACAAAAGTCATTACGGCGGTCGGTCGGGCCGAAAAGTTCAATTTTCCCAACTCCTGTTACGTTCCGTAACGAGTACGGTGGACGCTGCCAGTTTACGGCGGCTGGTTGCCACATTTCAACTTCGTCTAGAAAAGTCGCAATGCTTGGGGAATCTTGAGAAATCTCTAGCTCATTACGGCCGTAACGGTTACGGCGTCATTACGGATCCGGTGTGAACCACGCATAATGCTGGATATATAGTACGCAATCTTATAAAACTCTGTGAAACCACCTTCTAAAATGTTGTTAAAACCAGTTAAATTGTGCCCGATTTTATAGATTGGATGACCAGGAACACGGTTCTGGCATTTACTTTTCATTAAACATCTTAGGCTTCCCATATTCCAAACAAAAACTTTCAAATATGTGACGTCATAGCCCAAAATTACCTCCTTCCCCAGGCCACATTACTGTCATAAAGCTGATTCTTTTTACTCTGTAGGCACCACAACAAAGTTCAGACCAAGTTTTAAGCGATTTTTCAACGAACAAACCCATTTAAATCAGAATGACTAAACGAGGTGACGTCACACTAACGGTCGCTCCATGTTGAAGATGGGGCCTTGCGCAAGGCCCATTTTCAAATGAAGGGAACGAATTTCTTCAACATCAAGAGGCCGCGGGGGTTGCAACCTAGATAGATAGTGGTTTCTGAACCTCGCCGCAAACTTGGCTATCTCAACTCAAACCCCATGTTAAAGGTGGGATAGTCCCTTTAAGTATGGTGAAAAGCTTTATGTTTTTAAGCAGATTGCACGGGCTGGCAAAGACATTGATTTGCACGTGCGCACGTGCACACCCCTTTTTCATATCTCGGGATCTGCTGGGCCGATAGCGCTCATATTTTGTATGCTAGAAGACACCATGTAAGTATGAATATTGCACAGGTTGGCGAAGACATTAGTATGCACGTGCGTACGTGCGTACCCCTTTTTAGTATGTGGGGATCGGCTGGTCCGATAGCGCTCATATTAAGTATGGTGAAAAGCTTTATGTTTTTAAGCAGATTGCACGGGCTGGCAAGCATGTTTTTTAATCCCACCCAGAAATGACAAACAAGCCCCCTGATTGGCCAGTTGCCGGCCAGTTGGACTTGAGCGGTCGCCATGGTGGTATCGGGGACTCGGCCGGCCGCGTTAGGTGTTGAATTATGTGTTTCGTTGTGCTAGATATTGCCAATTTGCTCTGATATTTGATAAATAACGTTGGCTTATTCTTTGGTGACCTTGCGTACTAATAGGACGATATTCTGATGCCGATTATTATGCATTAAACATCTTGAGACAAATCTGGCGATTTCCACGCCCTTTTGCGGTGCCCCCTCCCCTTGTGAAGTGAGTTAACAGGCTTGTAAGAACCAAGTGAACCATGGTTGCGGTGCATTTTGGTTGCATTTTTTAGTCAAGTGGTCATGATCGTCCCTACATCTAATGGAAATAGTCTTGCGCAAACTTATTAGGTACTGGAGGAAGCAGGACAGTTACGAGTTTGGAGTACGCAAACTTGATATTAAAAAATTTCAGGTATTTTGGTTATATAATGTGAGAAGAAAAGTTGAATTGATCATTTTTTTATTACAATTTTAATAATGATAATATCATGATAATTGTACTGTCAGGTATTGATAATAGTCATGTCACGTCATGCCACTAACCACACAGACACAACACATTTTCATCTTTATGTATCTAGGCATAAGGTATTACAGGCATGTTTTTGCACACCTCTCATGTGCGAGTGGGCATGGCCTCCTTCACAGTTAAGTTTTGGCTAATTGTACTCAAATTTTGTAAGTACCTAAATGTAAAGGGGTGTAGATACAGTTAGTCGGGCACTCTTCTTAATTCAGTTTTGTGCACCACTTCCTGCTTTCACCATGCTGTGCCCACTCCGCTATACAGTGGACAGCTGCTTCTGTGACACGCATTAATCTTGCATTCATTGAAACTATTAGTTTTGAGTATTCTAACTCAGTTTTGTTGTAACGTTACCTGTTTGTTTTCAATAACTTGTATTGGGCTTCTCATATTTATCTTTTTTTTCTTGGCTTAGCAGGTGTAGTGTAAAACAAGTTTAAGCTGACATATTTACATGTTTATAGATTACATGAGTGCATACATTTTATAAAAGCTATTTCAAAGTATTGTAGCCATGTGTAACATGCATATGTCCTAGTCAATGACTACTCAGCATGCTGCTTGGTGTTCAATGGTAACAGTTTGATTTGTTTTTGACATCAAATAAGATTTGATTTTTGTTTCTGAGATTCCAATGTTATTTGTGGCAAATATTTTCCAAAAATCCTCCATCTAAAGCTTCAACTGAATTCTAAAATGCCTGCATTTTCTACCAGAAACATTATCATTGATACATCCTACAATATTTCATTTTGTCACTAGGTACCTGGACTGGTGAAAAATGAAAACTGAAATTCATTCATGTCACCATTATCCTACGAACTACCCCTAAATGGAATTGATCTTGTTTCGTAAATGAGTTGTACATTGTACAATGTCTATCAGCTGATGTCTATTGTCTATCTCTTTTTCAGCACAGAAGATCCTCAGTCATAGTTAACAAAATGGAAAAAATAGCTGTGTTTTTAAGATTCCAGTCGTGGCCATCAACTGCTCAGGAAAGCAGCCCAGAATCACTTCACAACAGGTATGTTGATGCATGTACATTGACATCAATGTCTGAATGCTGAAGAATTGTTGAACAGGGAACACATTTACCTAGCCTTTAAAAACCACAAATCCTATATTACTTACATAAACATTTTTCTATAGAACTTATATTATCTACTTTCATCTGGCTAAGGCTTTTTTACATTATATTCCCCCTGTTAAACATGAAAATATGTTGAGTTATAGTATAACAAGCTGGTAATTATATCTGCATTGTCAGCTTGGCCAACATCTGCATCATGTCTATCACAAAATATGACTGCTTTCCTGACATTTGCATTTGTTCCACTCACCAATTGACCACTTCTACCATCTGCTCGCTCTATGCACAGACATTGTCATAGGGTCTGTTCCAGTCGCACTTCCTAACACCTCTTAACTCCTCCAAGATTGCTTCCCTGTTCCAGCGGCAGCTTTCGCCCCTACAAAGCCAAGAAGGGCCCTGCTCCAACCTCCTCTATCTTGCTCTTTGAGGAGTTTAGATGTGTTAGGAAGTGCGACTGGAACAGACCCATAGCATAACAGTTTCATCTCCCTAAGTCTGTACTGTCTTTTTCCAGGTTTCCAAAGAATCATCATTCATCGGCACAGAAGGGTGGGAAAGAGAAGGTTGTTCAAATTCTGAAAAGCCAGAGCTGCAAAGGAGGTCAAAGATGCAGTAGAGTTTCACTAGTGGTTCTGATGTGGACTGGAGATTACACGCTGGATTGAAGTGGCCGGTCTGGAGCAGCTGTAATTCATCATTCGTGCTGATTGTGGACGAGTAAGAGCCCGCGTTGGCCCCGATCGGCGATCGCTGGCCAAAGCCCACCACCAGGTTGGTGATAGGCGTTGGCTGTACTTGGTGGGGGGGGGGGGGGGAGGGGAGGCGTATTCGGCCACACCAGGTTATCTTGTAATGCAACAAAGCTGGAAAGACGCAGTAAAATCAATATATAGCTCGCCATTTTTCTTCAGAATCATACAGGTCATTTTCGATCAGGTCATCGCTGAGGTCACTGGAGGTCACCAAAACCAAAATGATGACGAATTTTGGCTCCCGATTTTGACAACTTCTCAAATTGGTTCATAACTCGGGAACCAAAGAAGCTACAGCGCCGCGGAAAAGCGAATTCGATAGCTCTTTCGAAAATCTTTCAGGTTCTCAGATTTGAGCTAAGGTCAACTAGGGTTAAGCCTCCAAAGGGCAAAAACTGAACAATCGGCTTGCTTCGGAAATCGTCTTTTCTTTTAAAACTTGTGATACCAACCTTTTATTACGTTGATTTTACCGGCACTGCGTTTCGCTCGTCTTGTTGACCTAACAAGGTCAACTTAATAAATTTGACCTCAGGTCAATGTCTCAGAAAATGCCATATTGCATGTTATCGATTCGTTACATTGAAATTGAGATTAACATCAGTAGCGGCGGAACACCTTCAATTAAGGGGGCATTGCCGACTTTTGGTCTCATTCTTTCCATGCAACGCCCACAGGGCTAATGTTAAAATGCCAAAATCAAAGGGGGCACGGTGCCCCGGTGCCCTCTCCGTTCCTCCGCCTATAATTATGATGCTTTTAGCGCTCTGGCCATGCTCCATCTAAAATCGATGTACAAAAATAAACTGTTGGAGACGTTACATGACCTGAGATGACCTCAGGAGCATACGATAGATCCCGATGTTTGAGTGTTTTTGTTTCAAAAGCAGAACATTTCGAGTTCCTCATACTGACTGAAACTGGAGACGTCGCAAAGTTGACCCGAGGGGTGTTCACGGGCACCGCACACTGCTGCGTGCGGTGTGTGCGGTGCGTCCAGCAGGCGTGGGGGTAGGGGATGGGTAGGCGGCTCTGACGTCACGGCTGCGTGCGGTGGACGGTCCGCTGTGGCCAGTCCCGACCGGCCACAGCGATCGCTGTGTGCGGTGACGGAAGGCTGACGTAGGGACGCAGTGGGCGGAGCTTGGAGGCTGTGTGCGGTCCGACCGCACACAGGGCCCGTGAACAGCCCTCTGACCCTAGGTCACCGTTCACCGATATCAAAATTAAAGATACTCAAGATGTTGGTACTGATTCTCTCATGCAATAGCTCGAGTTTCAAACTTCTACGTCATGGTGACCTGACCTGACCTTAGGTGACATGGGGTTACATTTTTTTTTTCACAAATGATGCGAATCGATGCATTGTACATAAGCTATACTAAGTTTCGTGTCGTTTTATTTATGCAAGCAAGTTATTATTTATGTCAGGTGTGGCCAAAAACGCCCCCACCCACCTGGGGGAACGTTACAGCAGTGATGTATTTTTCGGTGTATTCCACGATGCATCGATCGGTGTACTTGATAATGCATTATTTATTGCTGCGTGTCTACGCTTTTGCTCTGTTCAGTGTGATCTGTGATAGAAAAACTACCGATATATCTCCACGCGCATGACTGAAAGAGCTGGCATGATCTATAATATTGGGTGTCTGTTTTTGTTTGGCATTTTATAAATACTGAGTCAGCTGTGATCGTTTGATGAGACACTGGGACAGCCGGCCTGTATGATCAGCGAACGGCAGGCGCGGGCCGGTGGTCTGGTGGCTGCTGCATGGGACTGACACCAGCAGATTCAGAGCTGCGATACGTGGACGTTATGTTCGCAATACCTTTGCAAAATAATATCTAATAGATATCATGTCCTCGAAAATGTTCTTCAATCAATATGATTTTACCTCCTGGCTTGTTCCATGGGGGCCAAAACCGATCGTTTTATGCATGCCTTTTCTGGGCCTCGTTCTCCTCTTAATGCGTGTAGGTAGCACCTAGCAATTTTATTCAAGGGACGATTGAAAGTGCCTCCGATTGGTTTTCAGCGTAGGTGGGATATGGCCGTTGAATGTGAGGCAGTCGATAAGGAACGTCCAGCTGGAACGGTCATTGGGTAGGTATGTGAAAGGCAGCAGTAGAAAACAAGGAAGGGAGGAGTTTGGTGTGAGGTTTCAAATGCTCTATGCATAAGAAAAGTTCATTTGATTATATGACACCGTCCTTTTTATCGCGATTCGTGAGCAAGGCATGAGACGCTCACTGTTCAGACTTGTAGCGTTAGAGAATGGGCCGACAGGCTGAGAAGGGCTATTTCCGCGAAAGGATATTCTGGAATTTGAATTGAAAGGCATTTAGTTTTTAAGGCATCCGTACTTCTTAACACGATACTGACTCATTTAAAATTTCCATTTTTCCCATTGCGATAACATAAGAAACCGAGACTGCCGTGTCCCCGTACGCAGGATTCTGGAGACTGTCGGGCGGATGTTAGTGGCTAAAAGCTTTTGTTCTTTATTTAATAGAGAACAATCATTTCTTTTAATACTTTGTAACACCTATCTCACTAGAAACAATCTGTACGGGCTTCAAAAAATGTTATATTTAACATGTTAGATCCATTACAATATTTCAGCTGCCCTAACTTGTAAATATAACGTATGCGTCATTATTGAAAAAGTGCTAAAGCATAGTATTCTATTGCTGACAAATATTCTGCGTCTGTCAGCGAAAACTGGCCAATCAGAGGCTTTGTTTGTCATTTCTGGGTGGGATTAATAAACATGCGGCTGGCAAAGACATTGATTTGCACGTGCGCACGTGCGTACCCCTTTTTCATATCTCTGGATCGGCTGGGCCGATAGCACTCATATTTCGTATGCTGAATAACACCATGTTTATAAGCAGATTGCACGGGTTGGCAAAGACATTGATTTGCACGTGCGCACGTGCGTACCCCTTCTCCATATCTGAGGAGCCGCTGGACCGATAACGCTCATATTAAGTATGCCGAATGACACCATGCTGACCTGCAGATTGTACTGGTCAGCGAAGGTATAGGCTAGCACGTGCGCACGTGCGCACCCTTTTTCCATATCCGCAGATCGGCTGGGCCGATAGAGCTTATATTAAGCATGCTGAATAACACCATGCATATTAGTAGACTTCACAAGGCAGCGAGGGTATTGGTCTGCACACGTGCGCGTGCTTACCCTTTTTAATGACATGTTCCGATTGCTTTGGATTGCATCTTTGGTAGGTTAAGCCAAGGTATCGCCTTGCAGTTATGAAACTTCCAAATGTTAACGAGGGCAGCGGTCTGCTAGTGCGCACGTGCGGACCCGTTTACCTTAGCTCGAATCCAGTAGCGGCGGGACACCTTCAATTAAGGGGGGTGGGGGGCACTGCCGACTTTTGGTCCCATTCTTTCCATGCAACGCCCATAGGGCTAGTGTTAAAATTCCAAAATCAAAGGGGGGCATGGTGCCCCGGTGCCCTCCCCGTTCCGCCGCCTATGCTCGAATCAACCTGACAATAATTATTATTTCTTGTGAGCATGCCCTCAGCGTGTAACGCTCACGGCTTACTTTGTATCTTGTATATGGAGTTCTGAGTTCAGAGTTTCGTGAAGTTCTGAGTAAACTTCACCGGCCATATTGCCCCTGCTACTTGCTAAATTTGATACTTTGACTTGTAGATATTTGCAGACATTTGAATCCACATTGACTCAAGGCAAACCAACCGAGCAAATGGTATACAATACGGATTCTTGCGTCCGTTGGTGTTCCCATCACCCACGAATAGCAACGAATGTAAGAAATAAACTTCAGCGTTGACAGGCATAGGCATGTCCTCTTTGTAATGCAATACATAATGCAAGAATCTCTGTCCAGTGTTCTGCCCACCGGCGTTTAATTAACAATGATATGCCTCGATACAATTGCAGACCCCTATGTCAAAGTGAAATTAACAAATTAAAAGGAAGAGAGTAAAACAAGTCTACATTCTGACGCTCTGATATTAAAAACAGCTCTTGGCTTTAGTCCATTTTCCGCTTGCTTATAAACAAAATAGAGTTTTGGCGCACTTAATTCGAACGGTGACGCTCAGCGATGGCAATTCCCGGTGCACACCGAATCCGTAACCATTACGGCGTTACGGCGTCATAAAATCGAACTACGCATGCGCGTTGCATTGTTCCCTCCACTTCAAAAGATATTTTTTAATCGCCACCGTATTCATTACGGAACGTAACGGTCATTACGGATCCGGTGTGAACCACGCATTAGAGTGCTGCCATATCCATTTCACGGCGTTTATAAGATTGGGCCCATGAGAGCACGGCGACTATATATTTTTTTTTGCTCCGCCAGCCTAAAGTCAGTCTGGAGCCGGGGGTCATTACATCTGGCAATTTTGGCCAGGAACAAAGTTTTACGTTAACCCGGCAGGCGGTGGGCCTACCAGCCACCTTCCGCGCGGTGGGGGGGGGGGCATTTTTTTGCCCCCCCCCGTATCTCCGAAACTACTGGACGGATCCGGAAAATTCAAACGGCGTTCGATAGCCCTGTCAAATTTGTCGAAGGAAACCAAATTTCATTGACCTCGGTCCTCGGGGTCACCGATGACGTCACAGGTCAGGTCAAAGATAAAATGTTTCACCGTTCGCGGGGCTTCTAGGGAAAGCGCTATAACACCGAGTAAAACGCATTTTGTCGAAAATCAGCGATGAGGCGTCAGTTGTCTAGTACATATGTTGCTATTAGAGGTCACCGGTCATACCAGGTCAGGTTACAGGTCAGGTCACCAAAGGTCACCAAGGGTCACCACATGAGCCGAACTTTACTAAGGTTATGCGATGCATGTTTTATGGCCAGTTTTTCATTTCCAACTCAATTGTGTTGGTTATAAGACAATCAGGTATGGTTTAGGTCACTTTCTGGTGGAGGTCAGGTCAAGGTCAGGTCAAATTTCAAAGTTGATATTTTTGCATAAAATGGGTATCGATTCGATGCAGCTCGTCACGGGGAGTCTAATGGTGGTCTTTGTTTTGCGCTACAAGGTCCATAATCGCTAAAAATTGAGTTTGAAAATTTGACGTCATCAATTTTGAACAGTTTTTTCGCTATAACTTGGCCAAAAAAAGAGGTATCGATCTCAAATTTGGTATGTAGATAGAAGGCGGTAGGGACTATCACATATATTCCGTTTTTTGAAATTCAAAAAAACTTTTTGGATTTTTCGGCTATCAAATTCAAAAAATCTATTTTTGATTTTTGGGGGTCGAAATCCAAAAAAATCGAAAAACCGAAATAGCAGTTTTGTAGCCCTTTTGATTCCACACCTTTTATGTCTGAAACATTTTTCTGCATCTCTAAAGCTGTAGGCCTGACACCTCTTCCCGCGAAACCTTTTTTGGGTCAAAAATTGCAAAAATGACGTCACTCTGACGTCATTAGCGGCCAACCTATCATAGCCTTTGGAAAAATTTTTGGTCACCATGTGCGCTAGCTGCTCCCGGGAGGGTACTGAAAGTTTGGTGACGATCGGCGCAGCGGTTCATGAGATATATTGAAAAAACTAAAGGGGGGGGGGGCAAAAAAATGCCCCCCCCCCCACCACCTGGAAGGTTAAGCCGGTTTATGTGAACCCGGAAGCAATAGCAACGTGGGAGCCTATCCTTAGCGTGTATCAGCAAATCTAATGGGGAACTTACTTTTGCCGAAGTGCCGAAAAAGCCGGAACAAAAACACAGATGAAGAAACGGTAACATTTATTTACATCACATATTCATACACTTGTTTAAGGTGTCAGTGTACTGGTGTGGGGTGTATTGGTCAGGGAAAAAGTCCTAAATAACAAAAAACCTGACGCCTATTGCAAAGGGGAAAAACCTCGCGCTGAAGCCAAAGAGCGCAGGGAAAAAACCCCTACAGTTGTTTAATCTAATGTGTAGGAGGTAGAAGGGAAGAGATAATGACGGCCCCGTGCTGGGGAGAGGCGCCCGGCGACCACAGGCGTAAACACCTTGGCCGCCAGTCGGCGTTGGCTCAGAGTATATAGAACACCGGGTACAGTCAGAGTTTGGGATATGGTAGCAGTCAAATGTCGACAGAAATGGCGAACAAGTTACAAATAGAGATAGGTTTATTCCACTGTTATACTTCCTCTTGAAAACTGTTGACATACATGACGTCATAGAGTAAAAAGTCCCCATCTAAGGTCGTTAAGACGAATTTTTGACATTATTAAATAACAAAATGATATTGTGTTACCTGTTTTTTTCTTATATTGTTCCAAAAAACATTTTTTATGATCTCTATTGGCCAATTATTTGTTGATTACGTCATCCATTCGGTCTCCTGACGCGCTTGCGAGCGGACGGGTCCAGCGAGAGGTGTTCTGACGACGATATTGGCGCACTGCGAAGGGAGTACTTACTGATTTTTGTTCACTTCAAGTAAATTTAGGACCGTAAGTTAGGACCATTATATTTGATCTATAACGTAAGGCTAGGACACTAGATTGTGCATTGAACAGTTTCAGTTTTTTCAGTTTCTCAACCCTTTAGTTTGAGTATCACGGGGAGGCCCAGTGATGGATAGTGAGATGATAAAAAAGCTGGTGATGGAGGCGGTGGAGAAGGAGACTTCGGTCTTGAGGGATGAGTTAGAAAAAGTAAAAAAAGAACAAAAAAA